ACCAATAGTAAATGGATATCCGGATAAATTCAGATATGGATAAATGGATGACGGATTTATCCGGATTGGACCTCTATTAAAGATAAAGCAGTCATATAAATTTTACAGACATCAATAAAAATGGTTGTACGATACATTAAGAAAATAAAAAGTTTACTTAAAATTTAAATTTGCCATTATAAACTCCAGGTACAACTTTCCCACAAATGCTATAATATTCACTCTTCACAAAAACTGATTGGATGTTGGGGTCTCTTTCATCCTTATTAACTAGAACGAAAAGAGTTACTTCCATCTCACGAGCCTCACTTTTAACAGGATAAACACCCAAAGTCTATACAACAGTAAATTTTGATTTATCTCTATCAGTCTGATGAAGTGAACAATTTTAATAATCGTATTAAAACAACATGGCATCGTAAGATGTTAAAAATTAATAAATAACGAACCTTTGTATTCATTTAAATAATGTTACGATTTAACGTTCCAATAAAAAATCCTAAGCATACGTCAATCAAAACAATCAATACAAAAAAAACACATAAATCGCATACAAGATTATTCTAGCCCAACTTAAACAAAGGAGAATTAATTTTCCCATGTGTAATAATGATGTAATTTTAAAACTTATAAACAAACATTGACACAGATACAATGAAATAAAGAACTCTCACGGACAAACAAAGCTAATACATAACAAACACAAAATCACACATTTAACTAGCATGTAAAACATACAACTGATTAACACATAAAAACGTGTACTCTATTATATGCAATATATGACCATAAATAAACATGCCTAAAATATACTGTCATGACAAAGATTTGAAATTAAATTCGCAGAATCCTCATAAAAATATATAAAATGTATTGTAAATCTATAAACACATAAATTCTTTACTAACTGCTATTAAAAGCTTTTTAAAAACTATGAATAATAAAAATAATCACGTAAATATATGACAAACAACTGCAAAGCATTATATCGAATAAAAACACTACAATTGATAAAATCGATATAAGTAAAATGCTAGTCTAGATAACCACAAGTAAATAAAAAAAACAAGTACCAGAATTCTAATAAAAAATAAAAATAAAAACATGTTCACACGATACAATTATAATATTTATGAAAAATCTATCATTTAAATTCTTGAATACTCACATTCCGGTTTTAATATTATTTTATAACAACATTATAGCAAACACTTCATGTGCATTTAACTATGTTTAACCCTACAAATTACATGTATATTGCATAAAACAACAATAATCACGATTCCCAAATAATCAAAAACCTAGTAATTCGGGTAACAATACGATAAACCAAATAATAGATCCAATACCAAAACAATAAACATCATATAAATTATTGCGTACACAACAAAATTCTACTTTATTCCCTTTTTAGCTCTTTTAATTCTAAAAACACAAAACATTATATAAATACGCCTCAACTACAATTTTTAAATGAACTTTTCAAACAAAGCAATTTCTACTAAACTAACAAACACCATACAAACAAAATACACAATAAATTACTTATTTACACCTACCTATAAAAAGTTCAATCGTTTATCATATACTAAAATTTCAAAATGCATAAATTACCTATTTTAATACTCCTACTAACCACAGTAAATTTCAATAATACCTTAAACAAAAACCACTGATAGATTACTGAATATAAGTTTATAGCATACTTACGCAACTAATATTTAAATAAACAAATGCTAATTGTACTGGTCTTGCACAGTACTGCATGCTGCGCAGCTATCTTATTGATAAATTGTAAAATATATTTAATATAATAGAATTAAAAGCTTCTATTCTAGACCCCAGGTATTAAAATTACTTCTATTTGCTATATTTCAAGAACAGGAAGAAACTAAAACCCAAGTCTATGCTAAATTACTATTATTTGAAACTTAACTAAGTATTTTAAGCAATATTATAATAGAAAGAGAAGCTTAGTAACTATAAACAAAGATCTTCAATATTTTTTAAGTAATGAATTATGGGAATCATTATTAATATCTAATAATATTGCTGCTGAAAATGAATTTATATAATATATGAAAAAACCAATAGCTTATAAAAATCAAAATCTTTTAGAATAGTAAAAAGTTTTTCATTTCTTAGTTAATTTTCCTGTAAATACTTGTCTATTTCT